GACATTGAATCAAGTGATATAGTATTAGATCCATCCCAATCCAACAGAACTGGAAGTATCAAGTCAACTCCTGCTTGGTTACGCTTACATATTACAGCTGCATAACGAATGAATAAACTCTTCAATTCTATCTGGGTTGGGGTGTAAGTAAGTGGAATAAAATGCGTAAATGCAAGTAAACCATCTGCGAACTTTTGGGGGAGGTCTTGAATATGATCGTTATAATTATCCTGGCCAAAAAGAGATGTCAAAAAATCCTTCACTCTAATCGGTTGTGAAACAAACTCCCTCATGTATCCCAAGTTTTCCAAGTGTGATGACATTGATGATGATAATAATCCTCTACTTCCAGTAGCCTGGTCCCAAGCAATCATCAAAAGTAAACGGGCAACCAATTCCCCACGATAACCAGGTTCCACATACCCGGTATGCAGTGCATCCAGTAAAAAGTTGAGTAATTTTCTGAACACAATTTCATGTTGCATAAGTGATGCAGCAGCCTCAGCAACTATTGGTTCAGATGGATAGAATACCAATAGTCGACATCGATCCTCTGAAACATGAACACATATCCCCATAAATCCAGCAACTAGTTCTGAAGCAATACGTGACTCAGCTGTTATATCAAGTGAGATACGGGAAGATAAAACAGCAAGGGCAGAAGATAAAGTTGGTTTTTTAATCCAATTATCCACTGTTATACCTCCACCTAAAAGTTTTTGCTCTGCCAGTTTCAAAAGATCTTTGATATTGGCATCATTGTTCAAAGCTGCACCCCATAAAGGTCGTCCCAGTGCAAACAGTTCTTGTAAGCTTAATAGTTGATTTGAGCTTGAGTTTGTTTTAGTAAATAAATCAAATGTAGCCATAAAATAAAATGGTGGGAAAAGTTCATTCTGACATAAAAATAATCGAGCTGAAGGATCCAAAGATGCTGACGGTGCAAAGTTAGTGAGGTTTGAAATGGTATCAGCGAATATGGCAAAAATTCCTGAAGGAAGACAACGTAAGGCTCGGCGAATGTTAATAAACTGTGTATTTTCTCCTGGTGATATCTGCAGCAAAGATCGTGATTCATCAAATGCGAATACAAGTTTTGCTTTTGTTTTAACAGTATTTGATAAACGGGTTTCAACTTTACTCCAAACTCCTGCAAATTCGTTTGTACAAAACCGTTCCACAGCTTCTTGATTCAATAACTGACTTAGGCTATCTTTCCAGTTTTCTACTAAATATAAAGCTCTGGTTATAATGTCTGATTCAAATTTGTTAGAGTGTTGTTGACGATTCCAATCTTCAATGGTCTTTCCATCAAGAAATTCCACGCAGCTATAGAAAAATGCCACTGCATTAACCATTGCATTCCCCTTTTCTATGAGAAAGTAATTACAAAAAAGTTGTGTTGCTGGTGGAACTCCTGAGCTAGAACGCTCACGAAGGCACAAATATAAAACAAAGCGATTTTGTGCAAGCTGATAAAGAAGTCTAGATTTTCCAGTCCCAGATCCTTGGAAGAGAACAGTATATGGCGCATAATAAACATCATGCTGAGCTGATTTCCATTTGTCCGCACAATCATCAATATGTTTTTCAAAATGCTGTAAGACACCAAGATCATCTTTATATGGTGTTTGTTCAAATGCCTTCTTCATTGAACCTGTGATTTTTTATTCGTCATAGTTAGAAATGAAAAAGCTAAATAGGACAATTAAATTTTGCTGTAAAAAAAAAAAAAATTGCTCACTTCGCAAAAGATCGGGAACAGAGGAAATGAATTTTCGGTTATCTGCAAAGAAGAGAATTATAACTTAGCCTCTTATGTTAGACAAACTTAATATTTAAAACCTCTTGCAAGGTAACTCAAACCAAAGATAAATTAAGATAGATAAAGCTACCAGAGGAGGAAGGCCCGCCGGCTATAAAAAATAGGTAGAAGCACAAAAAGGAAACAATAAAGAGCATAAGTTAATAAGTATATCGAACTTTCCTTTGAAT